GGCTTAAAAACTTAACTTTGTGAAACAAGTTTTTTTTGTAATTTTTTTGTAATTTTTTTTTTGTAATAAGATGAGGTCAGTTTAATCTTCCTCTCCTCCCCCGTACATGTCCGCCAGTTTCTTGAACCTGGGCCCCCAGTCGTTCAGGTAGTCGTAGTCCTGGTCCCCGGAGCTGGAGGAGTTGAGGGAGCTGACGGAGCCGGCGGTGGAGCCGCTGCCCTCGTAGTCAAAGACCAGCAGGGAGTCGTAGGGGGGGGCCGTGGGGTCGTTGTCTGCTGCACGCAGGCCCTGGGGGGGGAACACACGGTGTTAGTGCCCACCGTGGGGTTTGAGGGGGGTCTGGGCTGGGGGGATGCTTGGCATGCCCACAGCAACGCTGAAAGGGAAAAATTATGGTCCTGAGGCTTCCTGGATGCACCTCCAGGTAGAGAGCTTTCAGCTGCCCCCAGCAAAAAACCCAATAACTCCCAGTGTCCTTAAAAATAGTTGTTATTTCCAATTGTTTATTTCCTATGATCCATTTCTGGAGCTGGAAATCTTTCTGTCCTGGCAAGCGTGCCCTTGCTGGGGTTGCCTGTTGAGATTTCCAGCTTAGCCAATGAAAGTAAAACCAGCACCCTTCCTCTCCCACCAACATTTTAATTTTGATGATTTCCATTCCTTTAGGAAAACAAAATTAAAAAAAAAAAAAATCACTCCTGGCAAAATTCTGCAATTAGGACAGACGTGGGGTGTGGAATCCTGGGCAGAGGGCTGGAGAGCATTGCCGCTCCTGTGCAGTGTGGGCAGCAGCGTAGGCAGGCCATGGAAATGGCCTCGGGATATGGAGAAAAAGAATTGCTTTGCTGCAGAGCCCAGCGTCAGGAAAAGCCGGGTGGAATAGCCCTGCAATAAAGCAAATGTCCCACATTCCCACCTTCAGAAGCCCTGGCCTCAGCGTGGGGAGATGGAACTGGTTTCAGCAGCAGGGACGTGTGTAAGGACAGCAAGCCTTCACAAGCACGGACGTGTGTAAATGTGAGTGAAGGATGGGCAAAGGGACAAAGGAAGAAGGGATTTCAGTGATGAAAATGAGAAAAGCGCAGCAGGAAATGCATGTAATAATAGAATTAAATGGCTGTAACATTTATTTTTCTGGCTTAGGAAATGGATGGTGTGCTTTGTCTCGGAGGAAATAATGCATTGATTGGTTTGTAACCACTCAATCACTCAAAACTAAAAATGAGATAAGAAATACCAAATGGACAGATATTTGTACAGGCAGATAAAGGAGCAGTAATCTAACATAAAATAAAGAAACCCTCTCTGATCTGAGTCTCTCTGTGCTGCAAACTCTTTGAGGCTTTACACCAAACAGAGCTTACACAGGAAGACACAAACTGCTGAAATAATTACAATTCCAGGAGCCACAAATGGCTCATTCTGCCTGGGTTCTGAAAAGCATCATGTTTATGACACCCACAAGACAGAAATCTTGGGCTTTTTGCTGACCAGTGCCTTCATTAGGCCAAGCCCTGCATCCTTTGCTCATACCACTCCTTGCCCTGGTTGGCATCAGATTTCTGGCCTGAACAGCAGCACTGCTTGGTCCGTGCAATCAGGGAAACCTGACTTTAGCTGGCTGCTCAAACTTTGAAGATGTGACACAGGACCCCCTACAGAACATACCTCATTAATAAAATCACCAATATCCCCTGGATGTGGGATTACTGGTCTTATAGGATACTGTGGTTCAGCACCAATAGGTCTTTCATCCACCCTTCTGACTCCAGGTGTCTTGTTCAGCACGTGATCCATGGTCTCTGGCTGCTGGAGCTGGCTTAAATCGTAATCCTGTGACAAATGGGAAGGCACAGTGTGAAACTGGGAGCTTTTCATTCACATTACCTACTCACTCCATGTGCAAACAAGTCAAGGGCTCTAATTCTGTTTCAGCTGAAGTTTGATGGCAAATCTTATCCCTGGGTATGTAGCACCTCCATCTGAATTACAGATGAACCTGACCTCTGAGGAGCTCATAAAATTGACCTCCTAAGAATGTATCTTATAAGTTAAATTCAATATTTAAATACTTTCTGAATATTTCACATAGTGTCTAAATATCTGGGACAAAACCCTGCCTTTTGTTTGCATGTGCATAGGTGTACACAAAACTTTTTTGAGAAAATACACAATATAATGTAGAGACGCAGAGTTAGTAGACATATTATTGCAATTACATTTCTACAGAAGTAAAAACATTAAAATGTGTATTGCATTTATGCATGGAGACCTTTCAAAGTAATTATGTTCTTTTTGCTTGTGAAAAATCCCAACAGAATAAGTTTCTATCACAAAATGAGAACCAGGTAATATTTCATTAAAAATACATTCAGGTAGGTAATGGTGTTTTGCTGCTTATCCTTTGCTGTTATTTTTAACAAATCCTTCCTAAAATATTTAAGCCTACTGTGTAGTTGCCTGAAACCAGATACTTCAGCTACTTGGAATGCTTAGAACAGTGCTTTGTTCTACCAGGAACACTATCCTTGTGCTCAAGTGATGGAATCTCCAGGAGCAATATTTATAAATAACTTGACAGCGACAGGAAAAAAAAAAAAGCAATGTTAATTGCGAGGATTTTTCTGTGGAGTAAGAACTTTTCAAGGTTTGGGTAAACTCCTGCCTCAGAGTTTTCCATGGCAGCTCTCACCGGGCTCACTGCTCACCACTGGGACCTCCACGGCAGGATGTGCTGCAGTGGTTTTGGGGGATCCCTAAGCACTGACCCGGAACCACGCAGTCCAGTTCAACGAGCAAAAATAAAGCCATTAAACAATGTACAGTCACATAACCTGCATGAACATTGTATTGGAGAGTGTCCTGGGCTCTCTACTCATATTTGGTAGGAGTAAAAAACCGGTGACTTCAACATGAGTGACAAAACTTCGCTATTTTTTAGCTGAGGAATTGGACACGTAGCAGTGGAAAAGCACATCCCAGGAGTGCAGGCCAGGGAGGTTTTCATGCAATATCAGCACTGGTGTCTGTAGGAAGAGGCCCTGAAGGAAAGCTGACGTGTTCAGGCAGCCTGTGGCTCAGGGCTCTGTCACCCAGCACAGCTTTGCCACCCCGTGCTGCGTGGTGAAAGAGAAAATCCCCAAATCTCTTTAGACATTTCTCACAAACCATGTCCAGAAATTAAAAGAAATTAAAGGCACATTAGAGACGATTAAGGAAAGCCCAGAGAAGATCAAAAAACCAAGGCAAGAGACTGCAGCCACATGGTTGGGCAGGGCAGTAGCGACTGGTTGGTTTTATGAAGATCTCTGGTAAAATATACAATTTTAATGACTTAAGTAACAAAAATATGGTTTGAACATGAGTGTCAATGGAGTGATGTATAGTCCTTCCTCAGGAAGATGCCTAGGGGGTAGAAAAATCCCTGTGGCACTGGCTTCCTGGCATTGTCCTGTTTACACAGGAGCGTGTCCCAGTAATATCCTGAATGTCCTGGACCTGCTGGCCCTCCACCCCACCAGGAAAGCCAATAAAGCTGCCTGGTCATAAATAAAGGAGCACAAACCATTTTTGCATGTATTTTACTAAAAACAATGTGATTACTGCCTTTTTTTGGGAGTACAGATTGCACAGCTGCTCCTCGGCCACAGGTCAGGGGCTCTTCTCACCTGGTCCTCCTCTCCACCTCCCTCTTCGTCGTACTTGAGGATGTTGTCCCGGACGTCGTCCTCAGGGTCGATGAGGAGCTGCTTGGTGTGGCGCTCCTTCTCCCGCCGCTTCATCCACACCACGAAGAGCAGAACCATGGCTGCAACGGGGAGGGAGCTGCGTGAGCTGCTGGGGACCTCCTGCAGCAGGCCAGGCTGAGGATGTCCTAGCACATCACCTACCCTCACCCACTGCAGAGAACCTCACTGGCTGCTGGCAGGAGGAAGAAAATGTTAACCTATTGCATGGTCTAATTTTTAAGGGAGAGATCAGTGAGAGCTGTAAATACTGTGTCACATTCCCACTGCAAACATTTCTTTAAGATCCATCACAGAACTGATTGAGCTGATATTAATCAGGACTAAAACACACAATCAAAGCAGAAGAAACCAGGAAGTGTGAAAACTGCAGCTCTCGGAAAATATTTGATCTGAATCCTGAGTTTTCAGGATTAGATTTCCACCTTTTTATTCAGGGACATAAAGATGAAGGGAAGAGAGCTGCAGAGAAGGAAGCAGGTGCAGATGCCCAACGTTTGTGCACAAGGGGCTGTTCCAGCAGCGTGGCACAGGTTCAGATCATGAGCCCTGACTGTGACAGTCTCTGCTGTTTTCTGCAGCTGGCCAGGCAAGACTGATCTGGGGAGGATGCACAACACTGAGTCCTGTAATCCAATTTGGCCTCCCTCATATTCTTCTTTGGTCCATGAGGGAGGCTCTTTAGACTTCTGAGATCAGATTAGCCAGGACATTAGCACATGCATTTGGCCATTGACTTGGAAAGCAAATCTCAGATCATCTGAAATCCTTTCGGAGAGCAGGGCTAGCTTTGCAGAACAAGGGAGAGCAAATCTAGTAGCACAGAGCCAAGCTCCTCAGGCATCAGCATTTGCATGCCAGGCTTGGCTAGTCTCTCTCAGCACAGTAACTGGGAGAGATGAGCAGTTCTTGAACCATGAGGAATTTTTTCCTTTTTAAACAGCTTTACCCACAGGGAACACTGGCTCACTGCTCCACAGCCTCACCCTTCCAAGGGACACCCGTGTCCCAGGGGCCGTGTGCTCCCTGCGAATTACTGCATGCAAGATATCTGGGAACTCAAGTCTCCACTGACATAAGGCAGCCAGATCTTGTCTTCTTCAGGAACGTGTTAATACGTTTGTTTTCATTCTCACACTCAGTAGCTGCAAGTAATGCCCTGAAGAATGAAAGTTCAGTCTGGGCAGCTGCTGCAGTCACACCTCCCACTGCTGTCCCCTCTGTTCTCCATGCAAGCCCCACACTGAGCTGCAACGGTGGCAATTTGCAGAAGGGAGCAATGGATGGACAGTGGAGGTGGGAACAAATGTCCCAGGCTCATTTCACCTGGGTCAACCCTGTGCCAAACTAACACAAGCAAACTCAGGCAGGATGTGAGATCCCAAAGTTTGGGGGTTTTACTTGAGACCAGACCCTGGGGACATGGATGGGCTGTCCAGCTTGCAGGAGGAGGTGGTTAGAAGGATCCAAATTCTTCCTCCCAGCACCAAAGTGTTTATACCCAACAGGAATTCAGTGAAGGGATTGAAGAGGACGGGACAGCTAATTACTGCCATTGTGTGCACTGGCACATCCCTGCCTGCCAGCTAACAGAATTGTTTTCAGATAGTTCAGCATTTCTTTAATGCTTATCCCAGATCTATTCAATAAAGAAAAAAAGAAAAGGAAAGAAAATGTAACTCTCATCTGTAATATAAAACCTCAGCTATTTAGCAGACTATTGAAGTCCTTTTTTCATTGTTCCTTTTCAAGTCTCTCACAACAAGATACCTGACTGGTCCACAAAGACAATATTATAATGGTTACTGGGGTTTATCTTTTTATTTCCTTTTTTTTTTTTTTCCAAATGATGCTTTTTCATGCACTTGTGGAAAAAACGGTGCCATTAATGCCTTTACAGCTACCTTGGAAAAAAAGCCACCTTCAAAGTGTCAGTGGTGGATGTAGTGCACTCTCCTTCCTTTTATTCACTCTGCAGAATGGGAAGTGCTATTACTGTTGTTAGAACCATTTTCGCTCTGCATGTAGTTTTCCCTGAAATCTATTGTCTTCACCTTTCACAATTTTTTACTGCATTGCTCTTCTAAATGTGTTATTTGTGCAGCTAATACATCAGGCAGCAAGAAGAAGAAAAAAACCCCTTTGAGCAAAGGTAAAGGCATAAACTTCCTTCACAGGAGCAATCTTGGATCTGCCCCCTTGCTTCTTCTTCCTTTTAAAGTCATCCAACTTTGACCTGCTGACTCTAAAATGGACAGATAGCACAGGAAAATCCCTCTTCTGCCTTTTTCTAGGCTATTGTTTAGAAGTCATGATACGAAACAGATAGAAAGGAGGCAAAACACTGGAAGGATGTAACTGTAAAACTACTCATTGCAAATTACATTTTTCATCACTGATACAGTGCTTTGCAGCTCTCCAAGATAAAAAAAAAAAGTCAATTAGAATTACAATGAATGTAAAAATAAGCTTTTGTAATAAAACCCGTAATTTAAAATGGGATAATATATCTGAAAATGGAAAGAGGAATCTCTTAAATCAAATGTCCTTCAGCTGAAGTTAATTTCAGTCAATAGGATTTTCAACCGTTTTAAATTGTATTTTAGCACTGGATTTATACAAGACCAGCAAAAAGAAGACCTGTGCTTAATCACTTCTGTGGCTCCAGTGCAAACTTTGAGCCCAGAGGCAGCAGCAAACCTGCACAGCAAAAGGAGGTGAGGCTGATGAACACCTTCATCTTCATCGGGGCCCTGAGTAACCACTGTGGCTGGAGGGGGCAGCCAAAACTGGGAATGTGGGGCAGCAACTGGGCACAGGGATGCTCCATCAGCTCAGCTGGGCTGGGACAGGAGCAGGGGCTGCACAACCACCCAGTTCCTTCCTCACTCTCCATCCTGATCCAGCAGATCAATTACACACCAATACATTCCCAGCACCAGCCCAGGATATGGGGGGATGTCCAGGGGTGACCCGTTCTCCTGCTGTACCATGTCATGTCCCCATTAGGTGACACCTGGAGCATACTGCTCTGTCTGCTCTCTGTTAAAATGCACTGGGGGTAAATATTAAATGTGATTTAGCACCATAACTCCCATTAGCTTTAATGAGAGTCCCATGGATTCATCCTGTGTTTCTTGATTAATATTTACCTCATTGTTCATTTCAACGCTTGTTTTTATCCATTCCTACTATGCCAACTCCTGCTTGAAGTTACAATTATATAATTTTTACTTTTTAAGTGGGTGCACACATGGTTATTGGTAATGCTCATGGAAGCTTGGGACTGACAGCACTCCTGGGCAAAAGGGATAGTTTTGCCTTGAGGAAAGGGATGGACAGTCCTTCTCTGTGATGTATCCCCAGTCCTCCATAATTTCTGACAAACTGGGACTCCTTCCTCTAAAAAACTCATAATCCCCCCAATCCGAGGTAATTTTAAAAGCAATAGGAATAACTACCATTCTTCTTTTCCTTGGAACAGCCAGAAAAACACATTTCTGCTCTGGCTCTGCAAAAGACTAGCCAGACTCTCACATCCAGTGTATCTGGTACTGAGAACCAGCATATCCACAGCCATCAGACATGAGAGCTGTGGGAGAATCTGACTGAGAAATTTGGAAGAAGCCTTCAACCTCTTCCTGCAAAATGTGGATGATCCTATCACACTCACTACTTACAAGTTGGTGTCAGGTGTAATACTGTTTGCAAAGCTACTGGAAGTCTTAGAAAGACAGGTCTGACTCAGGCAGAGCTCATTTTGCTGATGCTGCAGTGAAGGAGGTTTGAATGCAGATGTGTGAACCACCTCCACAGCCCAAGCACGGGGAGCTGCCCTCTGCATAGAGCTCGTAAATACAAGCTGTAGGAAAGAACAACAGGGAAACATGAAGGAGGGTAGATTTAGAGCAGATTTTGGGAAGAAATTCTTTACTGTGAGGGTGTGGCACAGGGTGCCCAGAGAAGCTGTGGCTGTCCCATCCCTGGAAGTGTCCATGGCCAGGTTGGATGGGGCTTGGAGCAACCTGGGAAAGTGGAAGGTGCCCCTGTGTGTGGCAGGAGGGTTGAACAAGATGAAATTTAAGGTCTCCTCCAACCCAAGGCAGTCTGTGTTTTAGGCCAGGCCCTGTGGTACTCACTCAGCAGGATGATGATGCAGATCAGGATGGCAATGATGGCCCCCGTGCCCAGCCCCGCCGCAGCCACGGCCCCGATGGTGGTGCAGTCGCCGTTCTCGTCACACGGGCACACCTTCACCTTGATGACAGAGGTGTTGTACAAGGGGGGGTTTCCTGAGTCTGTCACGATGATGGGCACATCATACACTCCTGCTTCCAGGTACATAATCCTCAAACTGAGCTGGGCATAGTCCCCTGGAGACCAGGACAGACAGACAGACAGATGACGGACATTGGTAGAGCCTTGCAGCCACATTTGTGCAGGCTTTTCTGCTAGAGCCTTCTTCTGAGGTTAGCAACAACACACTGGGCAGGACAGCTTCAGAGCTCTGCCACAACAGTCTGCCCAGCAAGCAGCCTGTGCTTTGTGAAGCACCGTGTGCTCTCACTGCTGCACTCAACCACCTGCATGCCATTTGCAAATCCACGTGCACGTGTTCAAAATGGCATCAAACACAAACAGGAGAACATGGATAATGCATCCTGAGGCTGGGCTGTCCCTGGCCACGTGTGCAGGTTCTGTACTCTCTCACCCTTCCCCCTGATGATTTTGGGAACTCGCTGATGACAGGCACAGCCAGGTAATCCCGTTGTGACTGAGCCCTGAGCTGTGAGGACACGAGCTGTTGCCCCTGGTCTAGCACCTTCTGCCAGACCTCAGCGAGAGGGACCAGCATTGAAGCCAAAACCAGCCCACAACTCCACGCTATTTTCCATCCTCTGCTGAAACTGCCAATAAGCAGAGCAATTAAGGCCATTTGTGGTTGCACGCTGCAATATAAAAATCCTTCACATACTGGTAATCTTCACACTTACCTAGCCCTCCTGGTTCCATGGTAAATTAAAAGGCTGCCTTTATGCAATTATGGTCAGAGAAATGAACATTGATCCTGATTGTGGCTTATGACAATTACACTGGAGGAACATAAGGAAGACTGATAATAGCTTTTTTCCCCTTGGCCATTATGGATGATTTATACTCTGTTCACTACTGATAACTGTTCATAATTATGAACTGCATTAAAAAAAGCCAAGTGCCAAGGCTCTCAGAGTTATGCTGCAGGTCTGATACAAATCACTCCTGATTAACTATCTTGTCTATAATGTCAGCCGTAATGTGCTTTAAAAAATAAAAATCGGATTAAAAAAAGTGAGGAAGTTTTGAAGTTGGAAGCCACACGTGCGGCTCGTTAGTGAAGCAGAGCCCAAATGTGCTGAGGATTGCCTGCCCCATTTACCATTGAGCCGTGTGATGGTCCAGTTCTTCCTCACTGCAGATGGCACACTTGGCAGCTCGAAGACGAAGGGCCCCACGTTTGGATCGATGTCAGCGTCGGCGGCCGTGATGTTGATGACATTGAGGTTTGGCTTCTCACAGATCTGCGCCTCCTTGGGCAGCAGCTCCGGGGCGTTGTCGTTGATGTCGATCAGGTAGATCTGCAGAGTGCCCGTGCCGCTGGCAGGGGGAATTCCTGCACGGGACACAGGGACCCATGAGCACCGCCTGGCAAGCAGCAGGATTGGCAACCCCTCAGACCAGCCCCTCTCTGCCTCACACTTCCAATAAACCAGGATTTCACCTTCCCTCCATGGAGTTTATTAGGGACATACTGCGCTTTCATGGTCCCTTGCTTTATGTGGTAGAAAACTTCCCCAAGCCTCCTAATGTTGCTGTTTTTCACTCCTGCAGAACAGGAGGTTGAGCTCTGCAGATCTGTAGCCTGCAGCAATGCCCCTAGTCAAACTAAAACTGCAAGCAGGTGATGCCAAGCTGCTCCTGCAAATCTTGGTAATGGCTGTTTTGAAGAAGAAAATACATTAGAAAGAGAGCTGACAAGAGGAGCAAGAGGGCTTGGAGGGGAGAAAAATCTACATAGTGTAACCCATTGGTCAGCATTAACTCTAGCACTTGCTGGCCAGTTTTCAGCTTTGCAGATCATTACTCTCCTTCAGAGAAAGTCCAACTCCCCAGCACAACCCCAGCTTTAGTGGTGAGAGATCCCTGCTTGAAGTCCACAGTATGAGCCATCACCAGACCTGCTGGGTGATGCCACTAACCCCCAGCAGCAGTGTTATGTCCCAACACCCAATTCCCCATCCTTTCCACATCTGTCCCAACCAGCAGGGATGTCACAGCACAGCAGTCCTGGTCCTCCACCCCTTCTTGATGGAGAGCCACCTTTGTCAGAATAATGACTACTCACACAAAGTAGTATCTGCCCTGGCAGGAGAGAACAGCCTTCCCAGAAACGGCACAGTGTTTTTCATTTCTCTCCCCACACATTTAGCTCTGTGTTGGCTTGCTCTCTGCCTGCCTCTCTTATCTGACAGCATGGCTTCAGCAATTCTTTTTAAAGTCTGTGTTTTCAGTCCTGACCCTTCCTCCCAGTGCTAGGTACAAAGCCACATAAACCACTTCCCCATCAGGCTTCTGCTTCCACAGACCATCCTTCCTACATTCCTTTCTCCATGTCTCAAGGGAGCCTCAAAAATTCTGCAGGAGCCCTGGAAATCCTTTTTTCATGGTTCCCACATAAGCTCTTCAATCATGGACTCTCATCCTTTCATCTTCTAAGCATGGGGTAGGTCTCCCTCTAAAACAATGTCTTTTGATCAGCCTTGAAAGCTTCTGGAGAGGCAGACAGCCCACCAGGATACCAGGGCTGGACATGAAAACTGACTTTTGGGACCAAGCAAAGTGATTTTACTGCTTTCACATTACCCAGAGTATCTTCTGGGATAAAAGGACTGTAACCTCTGAGACAGACTGAACACAAACCCTCAGTCCTGAGAGGCACTAACTGGCACGTGGCTGAAATAACCTGCAATTGCTGCACCTACAAATGCACTTTTGTTCGGCCATTGAGTATTGTTGGGATCCAAGTCCTGGTATTCTTGTTTCTTTGTGTGCAGTTCTTTCCCTAAGTCCAGTTCCGGGGCAGTTTTAGGAGCAATGAAAAGTAAACAATTCTTTAAATGGCCAAGTCCTATAAATTTCACATTATTTCAACTGTTCCATATGGAGAGAGCAAGGACATGGAGCAGATACTGATGTGCAATGAAGGATCCTTGGACTACATCCTCAGAGATGAGGACTAAAATTGCACCACTGATTCCAGTGGAGAAGCTGGTCTGATCCCTGAAATTAAGACTGAAATATTAATAACAAAAGGAAGAAGACAATACAAATTCTGCATCTGCATTTAATTGTTGAATTTCCATCACTGCCTTTTTCACAGGGCCAGTGTCTGCATTCCCACAGCAAGGTAGAAGCCCAGGTGTTCAAGCTCAGCCCTTTGTTTCATGAAACCTGATGGAATATGACACACTTATGCTCTCAGCTTCCCTGGGAAATTGGCTGAAATTGGCTGAGGGGATCAAACACTGGCAGGCTCCACTCCTGTGCAGACACAAGTGTGAACCAAGGGACTCTTTCCTCAGAAACCAGGTCAAAACCGTGCTCTTGATTAGGACTCCCTTTTTGCCCTCCTTACATTGCAGCCAAGACTTTTCTTAAAGACAGGATCTCCACACTGGAGCCCAGGGAGAGAAAGAGAACACGTCCAAGGAGTACTGGCTAAACTTCTTTTTTATCACGTACTGAGAATAGCAAAAAGAACTTCAAGGAAAGAAGATGCTGCTGCTTCTTCAAGAGAGAAAAATCCCCAGCAAAACCCTTGACCCAAAGCTTTTCTTTGATGCTGGAGAACCTGGAACTTGGAAGCAATATGGTAAGAGTCTATTAGCCTAGATGAAACTTTAGCTGTTATCCTAAGCACTCTAGACAGAATTTTAAATAAGGTGTTGCTTTATGTGCATTTTAATGGCTGCAATATACCAGCGATAGATTAATTTTTCAGAATAAAGAGATTTATCTAGGCCCTCACTTTCTGAGCTGCTGAATGATGGATGTGGAGGCGCTGATGCACTGCTGCATCAGCACCACAGCCAGGGAAAGGGGTTAACTCCACATCTCATCGCACCAAGTGCCTGAATTTGCAAGGTCAGATGGTGAGGATTAGGTTGATAGGTTCAAACTCTACCACTGCATCTGTGAACAGCCTTGGCCTACTCATTTGTCCTGTGGTTTTCCAGATGAACACCACTAGACCCATTTGAGAATATTTTAAATTTCCATGTCCTGGTTGCCTTAATGGAGAGGAAGCTCGGGATGGGGCTGTGGGGTGAGTCCTACCACTCATGGTGCAAAGAAGGAACAAAATGCACTTCTTGGTACATCTCCTCAGCTCTGAAATTCTTCCATGAGTTTCCCTCACCCCTGTGACCTGGGATGCAGTGATTGAAGTGATGCATGGAACCCCAGAGGGAGGAACTTTTCCTTAGCCCTGCAACCATCACTGAATCTGCTCATAATGACCACGGCACCTCCAGCCTGAGGGATCACACAAACACTGCCCTGAAAGCACCTGCAGAGTATGAGCAATATATTTAGGTGCTCACAGCCAAGCCTAGACTGAGCTGTGCTGCTGAAGCCAGGCTCTGGTTTGAGTGCTCAGCACCCTGCAGTGGGAAATGAGGGTGGGTGAGGGGGAGGAAGGCCTTCTCCTTGTCCTGGGAAACTCCTGAACCTTTTCCAGATGGAGGAACTGAGGAATGAAATACCAGCATGGGTGTAATTATCAAAACTCATCAGTTCCTCCTAACAGGATTAGGAAGAGAAAAGCAGGCCAGCAGTACGGGGCCACTTGTCCTTGAGCAAGGCCAACACAGAAGTTCTCAGTGCCGACTGCAGCAAAACCACTGAGTGATCTTCAAAGAGAAGAGCAAACAGAACTTCTCCAGGAGATCTGACTGGCCTGAGTGGCTTTGGTAATAAGCACAGCAGCACCCAGATGATCTGATGATGGCTGCACAATTCAGGAAGGCAGTGGCCAGAAAGAACCCAGCTCCAGTGACAGACACACCTTTTATGAAAGCCACCACAGTTCAACAGATGGGCTTGTTTTTAACACCTTCCTGCCATCCCATAAAATTATTTCTGGCTTCCTGATGGAAGGCTTGCTGAATGCTCTGATCAGTGCCTTTGGGAGGATTACCAGGACCGGTGTGCTGGCAGCCCCTGGAGAGCACATCCCTTTGACACTTTTTTAAGTCCAGGCTACACCGCTACACTGAACTCCCCAAATCAATTTTCCATTTGTCCTCCCTTTCCCTTAATAACACTCTCCATATACTGCGCACATTTAATTTACTCCAGCAATTTCCCGTCCCACTTTCACATTTTTGACCATAAAAACCTGGGAAAAAGATAACTTATACTGACAACTCTGTCAGGGCATCATTTCTCTTAATGCATCACATTAGAGTCTTATTGAAGCATGAACAATGTGAAGCCTGGGCTCACCGTTGTCAGCCGCCAAGAATGTGGCCTCGTAGACATTATTCTTAATGTAGTCTGACTCTCGATCAAGGACAGCAGCAGTAGTGATCTGACCATTTGTGGCATTAATGTTCAGCCAGTTTGCAGGATCTGACAGCTTGGAGTATCTACAGAGAAAGGAAATAAATACATGGCAGTCTTTTCACTGACGTATCCTTAATATTGCTTGAAATACTTTTTTTTTCTGGACTCCTGACCTGTGATTCAAAGGACCTTTGGATAACTGGTTTTGTTGACAAACACAATGCTAATTGAGTATCCGGTTTTTGACCTTTACAATTATTCAATTTTTCAATTACTTTAGTTTTAAAGGTTCTTCTTTCCGCTAAGTGCCACTTACATGCCAGTTTCCTGCTGCTAGGAGAGGACATTTCCTGAGGTCTCTGCAGCTGAGCAGAAACAGGGACCACTGCAATCATATGCCTGAATTAGAGGATGGATTCCTGCTTTTTTCCTGCTCCTGATCTTGCCCTTCTGAAAACAGGTTTTTAAAGTCAAAGATATTCCTGTTTACTGCCCACCATTAATAAACAACAGTTTGGGAATACCAAACCATCAGAGTCACCTCCCAGCTACTCAGTCAATTCACAACTGTTGTCTATTCATGTCCCGTGAAATCAGCTGAGAACATGGGTTTTTTGGGCAAACTTTTCCCATGTTCTCCAGATCAGTGTGTTCAGTTCTCCTTCTTACTCGCTTGTTTTCTTGCTTTTCTGCCTCACAGTTTTGTACTGTTGGAAGTGAGATGGACCATAACTATCCAACTGGAAGCATATAAATGTCCAGACTATAAATTACTGAAATAAGCAAAGAGTAGCTGAGCTTGTTTAATGGGTAACTCAGACCTGCTGATAATTTTATATAATTTGTCATTAGATATGCAGGTGAGAGCATTACTGGCTTCTGGTGAATATCCCTGTCCAGAATTGGGCTATTTGAAGCAGAAACTCAAAGGGAAACTTGAGCTGAGTCAATCCATGTGAAGAGAAAAGCAACACACAGCTGCACAAACTCCTGCCAAAGGAAAGAATTACATTTCATGGAGCTAGACTCTTTGGGATGTTTTCATTTCAGTATCACTGCTGTGAGGCTCCTGCCCTTTCTCTGCTAAAAGACCAGGAATCCAGTTTCAAAGCTGGCTTTGTGAATGTGTCTGTGGCTAATGAGGATAACCTGAGGTGTGACACTGCCCATGCCAAGCTGTGCATTACTGGAGATGCTCCTGCTTCCTCTTCTTCTATTTGTAAAAACTCTATTTCATCAAAGACTATTTAGGGACTGAAATTTGTATGCAAGGCTCTAGCAGCTGGATCAGCTCTGCAAAGTGCTTATCATGGATCTGTAAGTTTGGCCTTTTGGGTATCTTTCTTCTTAACTCACCAATGTCAACTGTGAAGTAAAAAATAAAATACTTTTTTTACATCTCACAAAGACAGGACCCCAAAACCACCCCACTGCTTCTTGAAAAGCCTGGGCATTGGCTGTCCTGATGCAAAGGGAGAGAGATGGTACTGGGGTTTGGACATGAGGTGCTGGTGGATGCACAAAATGCACGTCCTGGAAGCCCTAGGAAGAGACAACTCAAGTAACTGTTCATACTCACAGGATGCCTTAGCAGACCCTACACATGCCCTGAGCAATGACAGGAACAGCAGGAGCTCGTTTGGATTACAGATCACCCCCCTCCAGGTTAGAGGGGGTACTCAATCACAAATGAGTTGTTCTCTCCTCTGAAAACCAGCCTTGGTACAGACATCAGGGAAATAAAGACACTTCAAAGGCCAATATTTCAAAAAGAACATAAGAAAAATGGGCTTGTTAGTTAGGATGGTCTCTTTCCTCCAAAGTCACAATGCCTGTCTAAAGACAACACGATGAGGCAGTGAATAAACTATCATTTTCTAGACCCGACAGCTCTGTGCCAGGTGAAATATTTCAAACTCTTCCTGACACAAAATGTCACAACTGATGCAAGTTTAAGTGGCCTCAGCCGTGGTCACATCATATACTCAGGTTTTGTCAAAAATACCACAGCTCTTAGAGACTGAGAGCAAAAAAGAAAACAATTTCTGTGGATGTAAAAGTATCCAAGAGCAGGAAATGCATTTCCTGCCTGCACAGAAGGAGCCGAAATAGTTGTGAAAGTGTCACAAGGACTCATTCTCACCTACGCTTTTCTGCCAATTATTTCCTGCTGGGAAGGCTGTGAGCCGGGGTCCTGGACCCTGGATTCAGTCCCTGGTCTGCCCAGGTGGGACAAAACAGAGTCAGTAACATCCTCCTGGTCACAGCATGAATTAAAAGTGATTTTAAGCTGCTTGGATAGAAATCTGACTTTTACAAGGTTAAAATTTTGCCAGCTGAATCGCATTCATAGGGAAAGCAGCTAAGGAGGAGGTTATGTTAGGCAGGTGCTCTGAAGAGAAAGGGAAGGTTGGAGGAAATTGCACCTGCAGGCAAGGGGAGCACTGGTGAGATACAGACCAAGTGCCAGTGGCCTGTGAATGGGTGTTTGACTGCTCAGGCAACACTGAACAATTTGGCACTTTAAAAGCCTGCCCAGCAGCTGTTTGTAACCTCACCAGCCTTGCTCTGAACTAGCCGACATCTCCTCTTGCACTGTGCTTTTAAGCAAGGTTCAACCTAAATGCTCTGGAAGCAACACAAGGCATGATTAAAAATCCCAGCCATTCCCTTTGAAAACCCAGGCCTAGCCCTTTCTATGCCTCAGTTTCCCCCCATAAAATATAAATAACAAAGATGGCTTTTTCTAAACCTCTGTGTTTACGAAATGCATGAACCACACAGGTCAGAGCACCCTGGGTGAGGCAGAGCCAAAGACTGGGTACAAAGCAGCCCTGACCTCTATAACAACGTGGCAATCTGCTCCATTTGAAGGTGTGATCTGCCCCACAGCAAGCCAGTAGTACAGGATCCAACTCTGCTCTCCTTGACCCAGCTGCTCAGAGCTGGGCTTACCTGGAGCAGGGGGTTTGTGGGTTTACAGGACGCTGTGCAAGCGCTCGACTGCAGGTGCCACTCCCTGCCAAGATCTCATTCACATCCCACCATTTCCAGCCAGTCTGGAAATCAGCTTCCAGCTGCTTGGCTCCCCAAACTCATGCAGCTGAAGCCCCCAGCTGCAGGGGAGCCCCCAGGCTGCCTGGTGTCCCACCTTACTGCCTGCTGCATGAAGCGATCGGGATCCACCGCCGAAAACGTGGTCAGGACGGTGCCCGTCGGCACCCCTTCCTCCAGCCTGATCAGCTTGTGGTTCGTTGGGAAATACGGAGCTTCGTTGACATCTGTGACCGAAATGGTGACTCCCGCTGTCGACTGGAAGGACATCTGGATGCCACTGGCCAGGGGAGCTTGGTTTGATACCATCACTGTCAGCATGAAAGCTCTGTTCATCTCGTAATCGACTGCCTAAAACAAACAAACAAGCAAGTATAGAGCCAAGCAGAGGATAAATTCTACCTTCTGGCTGGAAGCTGCAAGACTAGAAGGCAGATGATATCAAAGTCATAGCCTGATCTTGTTTCCTCCTGAGCTCAGTTCTTTTGAAGCTGTAAATCCAGAGCAACTTCAATCCAGAGGAGAATTTGGCCTCCCAGTTTTTGGAGGATCAAGTAGTTAAAAAAATTCCACAAAGGAAAAACTGCAAACAGCAGGGAGCACTTGCCCTGTGTTTTGTTCCAATGCTAAGTGGTTTCCAAAAGACAACCTGCCTGTGAGGAACAAACCCACCTAATGCAACAGGTGGAGCCTGTTCAGAGGGATGGGACAGGCACTTAGCAGTGCTATTAGCACTGAAACTGCTGACTGTGGAACCAGGACAGTCTCTGTGGACTCATGAGCCTGAACGGCTCTTTATTTTCCCTCATAAATGAGTTTATAAGCAAAGGTGGAGCTGCCAGGAACAATCCCTGGTCAGGTTAAGCAGGTGGTCCTTCCAGTGGGGCCTCTCATCCTCCTGCAAGGCACCTCGTGGTCTCTGGAGGTTGCCTACAGCTCTTACAGCTGGGTTTTGCTGCTGGGAGGCCACAGATCTCTTCTCAACACACACATAAAGACAATGTGCCTGTCCCAGGAGCCAGACAGAGTGAAAAGCCTTTGCTGGCACGACTGACTGAGCCCAGTGTAATAATAGTTTCTAAACCATCCCACTAATTATTATGAGGGAAGTCACTAATCATCTGCCAGAGAGGCTTGAGCTATGCAGGATCACACCTCTGCTTGTTAAAAACTGCTTTGCCGTGATTTATAAATTTAGAAGCATATCCATCCTCCTTAATACCTTCTCCTGAGCTGAGTCTGCAAAGCTCTCACTCAGGGTGTAAAACGCCACAGCTACACCGACTTGGACAGGGATTTACAGCAGCAGGAGCTGCCTGCCATGTCCTGTTTAAAACCCAGTATTGTCAGGAGGGAAATCAAATCATAGGAGCCTACACGAGAGAAACAAATTTCAGGGGCAAAAGGTAAAACAGCGGAATCTCTACTCGATTGAAGTGCAAATGTTCCCGATGCTAAATGGCTTCCTGACAGGCAGGGCCAACATTTAATAAATAAAAGGAAGCATAAAGACTCCCAGTACACCCACCCGTGCTGACTCACGGACTTGTGCTGCATTCAAAACCAATGCATGCTAAAAGTTCCCATTTAAACACCATTCAAGCCCTTGAAACAATTTGACTAATGCATTTCCTCAATTTCTTTTCACACTCCCTCTAATTTATATTCTCCCAGTTTTCTTTTTTTTTTTTTTCCATGCTGCTCTGTTTGCTAGGCTGTCCACAGCCACCCTGCCCCTCCCTCCCAAAGGGGCTCAGAGGCAGCTGGGGGCTGAGCAGCTCCATGGGGAATTTTGTGGGCAGCTCCCTGCTGCTGATGCTCAGGACACCCTGACCACACACAGCTCCGCTAGGATGTGGCCTGATGTAAAGGAGTGAAGTTTTCCCCCCCAAAAAAAATGTAGAGCTGCTCTCTCAACTTCTTCCTCTTTCTTCTGGTAGCAAGAAAACTTGGGCTGCAGAAAAATCATGCAAGGAGCAGAGCTGGACCAGGATCAGGCACTCCAAAGGCTGTCTAGGAGGCATCAGTGTCACCAAACAATGTCCAGCACACTTCAGTCTGCAAGACAGAGCTGATAGGCTCATTTCTCCTCTGTCCACTGAATCCTATTTCATACAGTTTTGTTAAAAAAAACCAAATATATATATATATATATATATATATATATATAAAGGTAGAATCAAGATTCTGTGCTGTCCTGGCAGTTTGGGCCATTGAACCCCATGGGACAGCAGCCTCTTGCAGCCAGACACTGTCCAGCCCTAAGGCAGAACTACTTTCACACCTTAATAAGCAATTTATACCAGAACTGTTCATACCTCTGCTCCCTAAAACTGCCTTCCTCTGAGGATAATGGTGCACAGAGCACTCTGTGCTCCTCACACCACACTCACCCCTTCCACCTCCATGCATCTCACTGGAAATGCTGTACACTGGTCACTTGATGTGGTTTTAGGGACATGGTGGACCTGGCATTGCTAGGTTAACAGGTGGACTTGATAATCCTAGATTTTCTTTGATTCCATGACAGCAGGATCCTGAAAAAGCCCACAGAGCTGCTACATTTGAGACAAGGACATGTGGGACTCTTGCCTACTTTTCACTTTCATGTCCAAGGAGCACTAGACATGAAATTAAAAAGCAGCACTTTTGCAGCTACTCCTTGCTGGATGGTTGGTGTGTGATCTGGCTGTGAAATATCCCCTGGGGATGCTGCACATCCTCCTCCTTCACGAGCACCTCGGGCCTGGCTGCAGCAGAGCGACGCCAAGGGCTTGCCACGTGTCCTCCTTCTCTTGGGGTACTTTGAACTGAAGTGAACAAATTTGAACAAATAATAACTGAAGCTTCAGCAGCATCTCCATTATAAATTCACAGCTCTGATCCATGCAGAGTTTATAATAACATTTTACTTAGCTGGTTGCCACAGGGCAGCCACTGCTGCTCTGGGAGATTGTCTTCAGACTCCGCGGTGTCTCGTCTGAGTGGGAAGCTTCCCTCTGCCCTTGATCAAGGCTTTCTTTGAAGATTAGGGTCTTGCACAGTTATGGAAATGGTTTGGAAAGGCAAGAACAGAAATGGGAAATGTTATACTTTTGGTGATCACACTGGAACTACAGATGGGATTTTGCTGAGGGCAGATGCAAACTGGCCCCCATGAGCATAATCTGAACTCCAAAGGGAAATCTGGCTTGGAAGGATTTCTGGCCATCCATTTCAAGCCCCTAAAATGCTGGTGAAGTGGTGGGATTCTGCACAGAGCCCCCCTCCCTGTGCTGTTGCTGTCACTCCTTTGATTGCAGCAGGAGTTATCTGTGAGTGGCTTTGAAGAACCACATGAAAATCCAGCCATGTAGGGTCTGTAAATAAATGGTTCATTACTTGACTTTAATTTTTTACCTGTGTTTTCAACCCACACCAGTGATCAAACCAGCAAGAAACTGCTCCAACACAGCAAAGAACAAAATCTGACTGGCCACCCAGTCTGATGAGGATACATCCCCCAAACCTTTAAGCATATTCACTTATTAACAGAGAACAAAATATTTCAAAGAAGGTGGAATCCTAAGAGTCTTCCCTTCTTCACCATGAAAATTTAATCACAAGCAATTTCACTCTTTCTCCTTGCTGAAAATACACCAAAAGCCTCCCAGCCAGATAGAGGTAGGGAACCCTTGTGGCCAGGAGGATCAGGTGAGGTGATGTAGTGAAGACATCCAATGTGATTTCAAGCTCTGAGCTCATCTTGATGAGATCGGATTTTCATGTGGTTCTCTGTTTTGTGATCACTGTGGGTTACACAGCTGTGGAAAGTCAACATCAACATCAGTGGTGTCTTGACAAATCTGCCCTGCTTTTTGCCTGCAAGTTGTGAATAAGGGATGGTTCATTATGCACAAGTCCTTGTGCAGCAGTGTTGATCATGCAAATCCGCTGTTGTTCATTTTGATGTGCCTTTGCCTGACACTTTGCAATATTAAGAATAAGGGGTCTTCCCGTGCTTGCAGTGAAAATGTTGGCATTTAGATTTCAGATTGGCTGCTGATGTCAGTGGAAGTTAAATTTTTGCACTTTTCTTCATTGAATGTTTTCTTTTTAAGCAGAAAATACAGATTTGGATATGTGTATACTTGCACACATATGTACAACCATATACACGTGTCTAAGATTGAAGAGGTTTCATAGTAAGAGCAACAAAAGGACCTTGCTGAAATACCATCTGGCAGGTAGGATGGTGTGTCCCTTGAAGTTTCAGCAGAGCAGCATCTGCAGACACACACACTTAGCCCAAGGGCCAAGGAACAGGACAGGCTCACACGTTCCTGCCAGAGTGACCTCACTGGCATCTCACTGATGCCACTTTTCCTAAGAGACAAACTGTGCCCATTAGGAATGACTGCAACTTGTTTGCAGTCTATAACAAGGAAGCAAGGCTCAACACAGAGCTGTTCTTGCATCATGCTGATCTTTAAACTTAGTATTTCTAGCTATATTGTTGGTTAAAACTTTCTGTCAGGGAAGGCCAGACTTATCAGAAGGTGCTGCCTTTATCCACCCCAGGAGGTACTAATCCTCTCCACATGCAGTGTGTGTTGTGCAGCCCCTGCACATCTCAGCAGCCTATGTGTGATGTCTTTGCTGTTTTTTGTAGTCAGAGGGAGCATCCACAGGTATCTGATGTGGGAAGAGCTTCAGTGAAGGGATCCAGTGATGTCCTGGCTGTGTGTAACAACTGCAGAAACACTCACTGGCCTCCAAACTGAAAGAGAAGCGAATGCTCCAATGAAGATAGAGCAATGTTCCTTGGAAACATGGGGGCAAGGAAGGAAACACAATTTGGCACTTGCAGCAGGTATCTTGAGGCTTCCAGCTCTACCAGCACATGGAGGGAAGAAGGGATGGTGGATATTTCTGGTTTGATTTCTTGCGAGTCTTTAGACAAGATCTTCTGCTGATCCAGCCTGGCGGGTGACTTTGGGTGGAGCTGTCCTGAATTGAGGATCTATCCCACACTGTGTGTTTATCACTTAATACCAGGAAAAGGAAAATCTCTCCAACAGTTTTGTTGCCAAACAACTCAGTCAAAGGGAAAATTTACTTCGCTTCTGTTGCCAGAAAATTCACTCCTCTCCTACACTCCCTGCTTTCACAGAGGATCTCTTGACTGACCCAGGCAGTGAAACAGTGCCCTTGATCCACACCAAACAGGGGCTTTTCTGGCTCAAGAAGGGCAGGGCTGCCCAGCCCAGGATTGTTTTCTTTTACAGAGCTCAAAGAGCCAAGGAGAAGCAGGAGGTGGAGGTCAGGTTTGGTGCTGGGAGTCTGTTCAGCATGTGAGGCTTTTTTGAAAGCTCAGGGTGGGCTGGGCTGAGCTGGGAAACCCAGAAGCAGTGCCATGCACTGGGGAGTGCTCAGGACACCTACACACAGATGGGAAACAACAGGTCAAGCACTCGTATTTCCAGACAGGAAACAACTGCAGGCTCCTGGTGATCCCTGCAGCTGGAAGGGTGACAACACAGCGTGCTTGAGCTTCCCCTTACCTTCACCACGGTGACCATGCCCTCGTTGGTGACGGGGTCGGTGCGGATGGTGAAGTGGCCCGAGGGGTCCCCGCTGATGATGCGGTAGATGGCGTTCCAGTTGGGAGAGTGGGGCTGGTCCCGGTCCATCACCGTCAGGTTTGCCACCACAACCTCCACTCTGTTCTCAGGCACTTCTCCTGAATACTGCAAAGGAATCACAGGGCTGGTCATGGTGGGAGCTTTCTGTCCATCCTCACACCTCCCTCCCCTCTCCTTCCATCACCGTGCCCACAGGGAAGCCATGAATCCATGAAGGGGACCATGAGCAACACATCTGTTTCTCAATTCTGCTTTTCCTCTTTTTTTCCTTTGAGTATTTTCCCAAAGCCTAACTTCACCTCTCAGCCCGAGGGAGAACAAACCCACTATCACACAGTCACTGCAAGATCCAGCAAATGCTCCAAGAAATCAAAAAAAAACCATCCTTGATATTCTTGCTCAATTACAGCAACCAGAGAGTTAATTGTCAACAGCAGGGGAAAATGGCATACTGAAATGTCTAAATTTTTTAGGATGACTATTTCCATTTATCCCAAGGTATTTTGCCTCACTCAGATTTCCGTGATGGCATTTTATTGCTTCTTCAGTGATTTTACTTCATTTTATTTCTTTCTTGCCCCTGATTTTGTCTCATTATTTGAAGTGTTTCTTGTGATTTTGCCACAGCCTTTCCTGGTGCTTAATTCTCTCATTTAGCACTGATTTCCATGGAGCATGTCTTGTTCAGGCACATCCTGACACATTAGCTACATTCTTTTCTGCTTTCCAGTCCCTGATTTATCTCATGGCTGATCAGGGATCCTGGCCTGTGAATACTTCCAGTGTTTGGGACTCAAAAGCTGCCAGTAAGACACATTCCCAAATTTTCAACTGTCCTCATGTCTCAGCACTGCCTATTAGCAGCGCTTGCAAATCAACACTCTGATTGACATATGGCAAATTAAACACTGGGGAAACGCCGGAAGCGGCTGGCTAGGAGTCTGCAACTGAAATTCTGGCCCCAAACTGCAGGAGCAGAGCACTTCTAAAATCTGGCCTTTGGTGTGCACAAATGCCAGGTTGTGTAAATGGTAATAAATCATTCCTTTCTTAGCACAGGAGTCCGTTTCCCCTCCTAAGCCATCCCCATCCTTTGGCATCTCTCTGTTATGGATGCTTGTATTTATTATATATTATTTAGCCGCTGACAGCAAAAATATGCAATCTGCCTCATGCTAATGTAAATTTAAATTTGTCCTTTAGTGGTATCCTGAATGGCATCTTGCCCTCTTTTTTGCTGTGCACCTGTCCTAAACAAGTTTTCATTAGTGAATGCAGATGGCATCTCTTTCCAGCCATGCCCAGTGGTGGGGAAGAACAGTGGGAAGCTGCAGGATAATTCTTATTCTACTACATGCTACAGCTCTTCTATTCTCTTTATTTCCCCTGATTTCACTTGTTCTTTACCCATTCTCTTGCCCAATTTGCAGTCTCTGTGGCACACAGCTTAAGCTAGGGAAATATATGGAAATTTATCAAAAGCCTCTTGAAAAATCCATTAGATTATGCCATATGTACACTCTACTATCAACCTTGTCTGAACTGAAGCAGATTAGTTAAACAGGATCATCTCTTCCTAAATCCACACTAGTTATTGCCCATTACATTAAATTAATGTTGTATGGCATGGCAGCAGTGACAAGCTGATGAGCCCCCAGTCTCTTTTAGGCTGCACTGCTAACTCCAAAGTTAAAAAAAACATCTCAAATCTTCAACCCAGGACCACCGATTTCATCTATCAATCCTAGGCTTATGCCCTGCAGAACCAAACAGAATTAAGTCATTAAGAACACACCATCAGCTGTATTTAACCCATTTAAGAGGGCCAGTCTGAACACCTTTAGTAGGTCACACCCCAGGTGCTGCCAAAGAGTTTGGGCTACATGAAAAAACCCACACAACAGATTTTACAGCAGCTCCTCTAGCAGCCATCACTACATCTGTTTTCAAACCACAGTTATAGATCTTACATATTTTAAAACATGAGGTTATATTAAAAATTATAAATACACAAGTACATGCTAATATAAAGCCTGGAGGAAGATCACAGCAGCCTATAAAGCTTTTCCAAACTGATGTGGGTGAAAACCGCAATGATCAGCACATCCTGGGCGATCCAAGAGTTCATCCACTTGTTGTTGACCTCTGTTAGGTACAGGTAGGAAATTATCAGTCCTAAGCAGAATTGAGAGTGGATACTGCTTACTGTGCTTATAAAGCAAAGTATTATTCTGATGAGAACAGAGCACCTTCACTGGAATCAAAGGAGCCATCCAAAGCTATTCAGGGTAAAAGCAAATCTTGGAGAGATGTGCCATGAAGAAAAGAGTAATTTTCATCAGCTACAGATCAGCAGCCACTGGGAATTCAAACTGGAGTCTGCCTTTCCTCCCTCTCAAACTCCCCCACTATCATTACTATAGGTAAATGCTGTAATGTGTATTGTCCACAATTGTCTTTACCTTAAATAAAATTAAGTAATGACATTAAATTGCACCTGCTAAAGGAAGGATGGCAGCTCAAAGCTACCCACACTTCTTTAATGTCATTCCCTCCTTACCCTGGAGTAATTCAGGATAATGAACATCTTTCACTACGCTGCTTTCCAGCATTCCCTCTGCTCTAAGTTCTCTTTCATAAGATTACAATTGATTTTCAAATAAAGAGAAGCATATCTATTCAAACAAGGTAAAACAATGGGCAACAGAGGAGCTGCTGGAGTAAACACAAGATTGATAAAGCAGTGCTTGACCTATACTTATAGCATTTACTCATATTCCCATGTATTTCATTTAGCTTCACTTCAAATTGTTGCATTTGATGTCCTTGATTTCCAGAAAAATTTTAAAGACCACTGACAAGGATTTCTCTGTCTGATTGTCATACACTTCCCTTCTCAGATAAGGATCTGTTCTGAAACTGGCATGTTTTAAATGGGGTGTTTTTTTCTTATCCTCCTATAAAGGCCTGTGCTGGCAAAACTCCTTCTCCCACTCCCCTTGAGCTGGCCCCTCTGAAGTTATACCTTGCTGAAAAGGAAATAATTCATTCTGATTTTTGGGTTGGTACTAAAATTGGTTAATCCCAGAATTTGTCTTTTGTATCATTTGGACCTGACAGCACATAAACACGCAGACAAATATCAGTCTAGAGGAGAAAGGGATTGATGTGGGGGACAAATGATGAATTCACACCATGACTTGACTTTGTGCAATGAATCCAGAGTCTGGGCAGTGAAGCCATGTACAGCTGAGTAAAACCAATTAGTTACTGCAGCCACTCCTAGGGAGGTGTGGGATTGAGACAGATGAACACAAAAATAATTATTCAGGCTTCCTTCTAAAGGGAATTCCCTTTTTTCCCTATGTTCTTACTTCTTTCTCTGGCTGATTTTGCTAAAAAGCTGTGAAGGCAAAGACTTGTTCAGATCAATGTCTGCAGGAAAGATCTTTCAGTTGCCTCCAAGATTCACTAATGTTGGCACAACATTTGTTCCAGGCAGCAGTGGTTTATGAAGCCTGAATTGCCTGGACAAATAGTGTTTCATGACCCATAACTATGGATTAACAGAAGAATAAGGGCATCTCAGTCCTCTTATTAGACTTTGAACCTTTCTCCTGACAGATAGGACTGCTGCAAAGTGCTGAATCTTCTCTCTAGGTCCCTTAGGCTGGGAGAAACTGAAATGAGAGTGAGTGGTGGGGAGTCCCATCCCTCCCCAGTTCCTGCTGCCAGCCTGCCTCTTTAGGCTCTGGAGATAAGGTGTTGAGCAGACCAGCACTCAGGGGGATCCACTGGCTGAATAAAACCCACAGCTCCTCATGCTTCAGGGCACCCACCCAACCCCATGCTGGCATCCCAGGCTAGAGTTTACCTTTTCTGCTAACAAAGATACTTGAAAAGCAGGAAAATTAATAAACAACTGTGGTCTGGTTGCAGCAGTCTGTGTAAAATTGTGTGTGGGGGAGGAGAAAATCTCCTAATAAATCATTAATTGTGATGTGCCTGCCCAACTGCAGCATGGAAACAAGCAAATGCCATCCTAATTGATTGCTTCTTATTCCATCTTTATAGGCCTGCATTTTTTATTGTGTGGGTTGAATGAGCCCAGAGGTGTAAAAAACCTCTAGATTGTACTCTGTGTATCTGCCAACTTGATATTTAGATCAATAATGTGCTTTCCCTGCCTCCCTCCCCCCACTCTTACTACTGGTAATTTAGCTTTTCTTCCTAGCAGAATAATTGCTGTTTTCTTAAGCCTTACTATCAATTCTGTGACCTTTAATTTCCAATATAGTTTTCTGTAGGGATGGCAGTGCTGGGCTGTGAGTTATCCCAGCTCTCAGCTGCTGTGACAGTCACACAGGAACTGCCAGGTCTCCCTCCACTGTGTGCAAAGGAGACCATGAGCTTGCTCAAATCCCCCAAAAAACCCTGTAAAGTCAGCCTTATTTTTCAAGTCAGGCTTTGAGATGATAATTTCTGGTTTTATTAACCTACTCACTCCACTAAGGTCTCGAGTGATGACTCGTGATGTCCTCACTCCTTTTGGATGCTGCTCTGCTTCCATCAGCTAGCAGCCCCTCCATAAACCTCTGGGCTGTTGTTTTTCCAGGTTCATGCATCCCTGCAGCATCCCTGCTTCAGCTTCACATCCACGTGGATCTACTCACAGTCCATGCATGCACTCACACCCAGCTGTCACGGGGCTCCCTGGCAAAGGAGCTGCCTGGGCTGCAGGCACTGCCTCGTGGTGGCCAGGCAGGAGTCAGCCTTGCCCAGCCCAGTCAAGGAAGTGCAGGAGAATGAGCTCACCAGCTTTGAAAAGATGTTTTGGAAGTTTTGCCTCTGTCCTCAGCAGTTTGTGCCAGTAAAGCAGCTCAGCTGCCTGCAGAGGAGCCCTCTGAGCTCTGAGCGTGGTGTGGTGCAGACAAGGCACCCACCTGCTCCCAGGGAGTTTGTGCTGGAAGCTTGGGTGATGCTCAGCGTGGTCTCCATGTGCTGGTTCCTTTTTCTTTGGCAGAGTTTGACAAACAACAGCAAGGCTCAAAGTTTGGCACTTCTGAAGCTGATCTCAGGCTGGAGCACAGACAACCTCGGGCATG